AAGAGGAGCCTTACAAAATTCATATGATAGTAGCAGCTTGCAAACCAAAATTGTTAGTTCATGCTGTTTGATGGCATCTCCCCAATGTACACAGGGACCTGATCCTTATAAGCTCATGTACATGAAATCTGTTCATTTTACATACATTTATCACCAAAGAACTGTCCAAAATGGGTAAATCATAGTTCCTGCAATACAGTATTTCATGTTCTCCCCTCTCTTGTTTCTGTATTCACCTCTACTCCAAATTTTAATTTGTTAGGGAATTATACATTTCATATTTTCTGGTCTATTCCTGGTTGAAGATGTGAAGAGCTATAGACATTTACTGTTCTCTTACAGTATTACAAATATAAATTATTTAAATTTAAATAATTATGTAATATCTTGTACCAGGAGAACTGCTTTTTTTTGTGTCCAAAGACATTTATTAAAAATATTTCTAATTGTAATTGTTTGCCTCTTACTAGTAGATTTTTTTTTTCTTTATGCTAATATCAAGTGGCACTAACTAAATAGTCCTGTTGTCTTTAGCAAGACAGCTTAAGGAGAAAATTCCTTTGATACCAGAAGGGCGAAACCAGGCCCTTCGTTCTTTAAACAATGATTCAAAGTCACGGTGCCCTTATTGTTGGCCTTCAGTACTAAAGATTTTTCTCATGCCTGGCTTCACTTTGACTTCATGGCTAAGGTTTCAGCTAGTGATGCTATCAGACAATAGCAGAATGCAATTCAAAACAGCTAGTGGAAAAATCCCTACCCTCTTCCTAAGCTACTAGGTTAGGGTAAAAGAAGAGCTGTGACACCACCTACTGTGAAACAAACACATGCATTGAAGCTCTATGGCACTTATCTGTACATCAACTTGCTCATTACTCTTTGGGGTTTTCTTGTTTCAAATGGAAGTTGCAAATGGTTTGGTAACAAGGCTTGAAAACAGACAGAGCTTCTGCATCTCTTAAAAATTTGCTATGGTATTTTATTTTATTTTATTTTATTTTATTTTATTTTATTTTATTTTATTTTATTTTATTTTATTTTATTTTATTTTATTTTATTTTATTTTATTTTATTTTATTTTATTTTATTTTATTTTATTTTATTTTATAACCACAGCATGTCTCTGGAATTAACGATTGCATTGTCCCATGAAGCTCACCAGAAATGACAAGCATATGCTGTCATGGTCAGTACATCATATCTGTCATTTTCTTAGGGAACTCAGGTATTTTTTGTTAGCATATACTTCTTCTACTATGCTACATGGAGGTAAACTGTGGTATTAATAACTATGGAGAGAGAAGAGAATAACTGGTAATAGGAGATATATATATATATATCACATGCCTCTCTGTGAGGCACTAAACTGACCCCTATCAGTCCAGATTAGTATTTCTTTATAGCTGAGATCTAAAGTCTAAAAATCACCTTTGTGTAAATTGTAAAATATTATTTTCTAAGTGATTAATCTGCATTAATTTTACTTTGAAATTCAGATGCAAGACAATATTCCAGTTACTCTGATCATGTGTTTTTAAGGTTAAAGACTACATACCTCTCCCTAATTGTATCTCACCAAGTACATAATAGAAGTACTGAATTGGACATCTGCTGCTGTCGTCTTTACCAGAGAGGCCACTTTAAAAAGCTGTCTGCTGTGCTTTCAAAGAAACCCATTGCTGTGTTCCAGCACTGAAGACAATAGTGGAGGGCAAAGATGTAACCTCTCTGGTCCAAATGTTATACATTCACATTACATCTCCTGCAGATAAAAACCCATCATTAAAATGAAGAAGAAAATGAATTTTGGAACAGTGTAGTTTTCTGAATTATTGTTTCAGACAGAAATGAAGTGGCAGAACTGCCCAGTCTTAGTATAATTCATTAGGCAGATTCATTATGGTTGTATCTATCAGCCAACCCACATCAGATCCTCTTGTGCTAGACATTATAAAACCAAAAGCTGTTCTGAAAGTTGGACTATGCAGAAAATCATTTTGTGCCACAGAAATGTGTTGCTTGGAGAGGTGCCTAGCTTCGTCACTTTTTTAGCACAAACATTTTTAGAGTAAGTAAAATGGTGTAATATTAATTTCACCTAAAACTTCAGATTATACAGGCCATGCTACACAGAAACAGAACATCAGCCAGAATGTATTGCTCGTTTGTGACTGGGAAGAGCCAGATAAAAAGGTAGAGACAAGTGGTCAGAGCTGCAAAGGGAAGGGTGGGGTATGTTGACTGAGGGAAACATGAGGAATCAATCTTTCTGATAGAAAATAGACTGGAGGAATGCTAGGAGTACTGAACAAATATTGAAAAAGGTATGTTCTTCCTCAAGGAAGCAGAACTTTGTCACTGCTGCTCCCAACTCTACCCTTGACTTGGTTTCCTGGCTGAAATAATATGTAAGACCATAAGTACTGGCTCAAAAGGGATGTGAGGCACATTTTTGAGTTTGGATCAGAAGAGGCAAGAAGATATTACTGGTTTTGCCCCTAATGTTGCAGTTTATTTGTCCTTCATAAAAAAAAATAAAATTAAATAACTGTGCTTTTTCCTCCTTCCAGCCTCCCATCCAGCAGCTCCACTGCAAATCAGATGCCATGTAGGGTAGGTACTTCTTCTTTCCAAATGTTTGTTTAATCTCCTCCTTCCCTTCTGTTCAGTTTCTCTTACAGTACAATAAAGCCTGGGTTTTGTCCACCAGTCTGTGTATATATTAGATCCTCAGCCTTATTTGTATCTATGATGACCTCTGGGGAGAATGTATCACCACTTTCTCACCTCACTACAGCAGTGAAAGTGAGTAAAACACAGTTGTTTTGTCTTTGAGTAATACATTTGATAATGTCTTAGATTGCAATGCAAGATGTAACCAAAAGTATGTATTCTATTAGCATCTGTAAAAACCAGGTAGGGCAATGTTCTTTATCTCTTCAAGATCCATCCCTCATAACACCAAGAGGATCTCTTCTGTTAATGGGCTACTGAGTCTCACTGCATGACTGATAAAATTCCATCATCCCATGGTGAGATGCTCCACCCAGGGGGAGGAGCCAAGCATTCCTACCAGAATATTGTCTGAGACTTGGAACACCACAGTCAGCCTTTTTTTCCACTGGACTCCCAGAGGAAGACCAGACTGTTCTACATCACCACTGGACCTTCAGAGGAAAACTACACCGTTCTACAGGATCATTGCTTCAACAGAACCACTCTGTCACTCCAGGAGGACTGCAGCCACCACTTAATCAGACTGCTGCCAACAGGGTGTTAGGTTGTATTCTAACTCTGTCCGTGTTTCTTGTACTACTGCATTTTATTTTAATTTTTCTATTAAGTTGTAGTTGTTTCTTGGGTTTTTGTTTTGTTTTTTTTATTTATACATACTAGTAAAGAACTGTTATTCCTTCTCCAGTATCTTTGCCTGAGAGCCCCTTAATTTCAAAATTATAATTCGGAGGGAAGAGGTTAACATTTTCCATTTCAAGGGATGCTCCTGCCTTCCTTAGCAGACACCTGTCTTTTCAAACCAAGACAGATGAGGTGGTTATCTTGGTAAATAAAAAACCCAACCCCCTCCACCCCAAGAACTCTGAATGGCTTCTCCATTAATCACCAAAGAGCGCCATTGACTTACCATGTTTGTAAGAGACATGCCCCTAACAAAGCAGACACAATTCTTCTAACTTAAAGGACATTTTATCTGGCAGTCTAATAGCTTTCACTCACAGATATTACAATAATAAACCGTGAGTGAGAAAAGGTAATAAATATGGGCCTGCATATCTTAAATATATGACTGAATTTTATATGTTTACCGATCTACTTTAAATGTAAACCAGTAATGTTCAGGTCATCAAAAGCCAGCAAGACTGTGCTAACCCAGCCTTCTGATTGATCCATCTGGTTGTTAAAGCCTGGTGAGAGTTTGCCTCTGATGGGGTTACCAGATGTCAGCCAAGCAGCAGTGCCCATGCCCTTAGCCCATGGCAGCAGTGAGATAAGACACTTACACAACCTTCTTCCCCTGTAAATGCAGCTTAGGAAAGGTGTTTTCTCACATTTGAAACTGTTTAGGAGGAACATGGGTCAGTCAGAGGGAGATGATAAAGGCAATGAAAATCATTATTTACCTGCTGTGACCAGTGTCTTACTTCACCCACCTTTTGTGAAGCTAGGCTTTTGCAGGAGGGATTTGTGCACTATGACATGAGTGATTCCAAAACTTTTGCCCAGCCGCTGCTGAGATTTGGTTTAATACTTCTGTAACTATTCCTAGTTACCTAATCTAGTTAAAATACTAGATGTCATTGGTCCTTCAGCATCCCTTACACCTTGTCCAATTTGAGCTGTGGGTTGTTGGGGGCAGGTTTGTCCTTGGAGAGACACTTATAACAGAATGGCTCTGTCCCTGGCTCTGATGGAAATTCAAGCCTTGTAAACAATACTAATGACTGAACCTCTGCTAAAATCTGCAGACACCAGAAAAGTACCAAATCAGATCAGTAGGTCAGATCTTAACTGAGAAACAGAAATGCAGCAAAAAAAAAATCTAAGGCTCTGTTTTGAGATGCACAGGATGGATGCCTGCACACTGATATTCATCTCTCAAGACTAAAGGCTGAGAAAGAACCTTCGTGCCATGTACAGGAGAAAAATCCAAGTTGCCAAATCTATTTTTGCTAATCATAATATTGATGAACCTTCCATGGCCACAAGACTTGGTCTATGGCATACAAGCAGGAATTAGCCTTTATTACTGTCACATCTGTGGTGTGGGACTCCTACCATGGCAATCATCATCAAAGGGCAAGAGTCAGACGTTCTTCCTAGGAGGAAGCCCACATGGAGTACACAGCAGTGGGCTTTTACTGCCAGCATTCATAATCAGCACCATCAACTGCAGACTACTTTTCTGCTGCCATTAGTCACTAAGGATTGAGAGCAAATATGTGAGGAGAATACAATTAAATAGGTGCAAATGGAAAGCGGGATAAAATGCAACAGGACTTTACCAAAGGTATATTTTGTGAAACAAACACAGAACTCTCTGTGAGTAGAGGAAGGTTCCTGAATAAGGGGAAGGCAGAAGATTCAGCATGACTAGACCTCAGTCTGTGTTTGACACATAATTTCACAGAAAGCTGATACAGGGGTTGATAAGATGCTGCAGCATGGGTAAGAAGTTGTCTAAGAGATGTCACAGAGGAAATGCTCCCTCATGGAAAGAAGCTCCTGAAAGATCAAGCATCACAAATATCTGAAGTGTAACAGGTCCATCCATGTATTAAATTATGGACAGTACCAGTGACATTTCTTGATGGTGTGGCTGGGAGTAGCAACTAGGAGAAAGATCAGGATAGCCTGGAAAAGGGTTTGCATGAACTTGAGGACTTGAGGAATACTGACAGAAGTTCAAGCACTAGGCAACCAGAATATGTATTTTTAGAATAAACAATAATTATATCCAGTTTTGAGACTCATAACTGTGACTTACAGGGTACGACCCTGTGGCCGTACAAGTGGTACATATTTATAGGTCACCAAATGAGTGTAACATAGTGAGAGGACTAGAGGAAGTGGCCTTAAAGTGACACAGAGGAGATTCAGATTAGACAACAGAAAAAAATTTTCCACTATTAGTAGGGTGGACAGGTACTGGATAGCTGTCCAGGGAGGTAATGGAGTCACGATCCCTGGAGGTGCTCAGGAAGAGTCTGGATGTGGCGCTGGGAGATGTGGCTCAGGGTTGCAGTGGCAGTGCCAGGTGGACAGTCGGACTGGGTGATCTCAAATCGCGGTAATTCCGTGATAGTCCTGGGAAAGACAGGGAGACCCCAAGGTGGTGGTTTTCACCTCTGAGCTATCATTATTATATATTCTGCTCAATTCTTAGGTATATAAGGGACTTGGTGTAGCCTACAATCCAAAACTGACGTAAGGACGGCTCAAGGGAGGCTTTTGGTCTCCACCAACTCCTCTCTGCGGACCCCCAGCCGGGGACGTCGCTCAGCTTCTTCGCAAGTCCTTTTTCCCGTCCACCCCTGCCGCCTCTCCGAACAAGTCTGTGGGCAGGACAGGACAGGACAGGACAGGACAGGACAGGACAGGACAGGACAGGACAGGACAGGCCGCGCGCCCGGGTCCCTCAGGAACGCGCAGTCCGGACCGAGCCCTGCGCGCCCCGGGCGGCCCCGCGCGCTGNTGCCCAGCGGGCCCCGCGGAGCCGGTGGGGGTCAGGCAGCCCTCGAGTCTGGAAACTTTGTAGGAACTTGGAAGGTTGTCCACACTGGTTGTCTCCCTGTCTGGGGAGAGCCGTCGCCGTGCGCTACCCCGTGGCACCTGACCCAAAACCTGGCGGGACTGTCAGGGCCAGAGCGGGAACCCCCTAAAAAGCTCTTCCTAAAATTGCGTGGAGTTACAGTCCTACCTGTGGAGAGGTGCCGGGACCGCTGCCCGTGTGAAAGGAGGATTCTCCAGGCGGTTTTCTTCTGGCGCCCGCGCGGAGTGCGGCTCTTCGCTGGTTTTTCTCAACTCTTAAATTATTCTTTAGCTCTGGTCTTGAATAAATATTGCTCATGTCAGAATGATTATGGTACTGTTGAGAGGCCTTGGTCGGGATTTTGATCCTTTTAGTTTGTGCTGAAATGGAGACTTTGTTGTTTTTTGTGGTTTTTTTAAACTTTTAAACTAATTATTTGAGCATCCGGTCTGAGGAGTAACTTAAATGTATCTAACTGAGCGTTCAGCTTTTCAGCGATTGTTTTAAGATGTCCTGAGATAGTTAGCTGAAGTTTGAATTTTCTGAAGTGTTTAGAAGTGAAGAGATGAATCACTGGGCTGCCTAAAGTCATGATTAATGCGTTCATAATTAATTCAGTTACGGTCCCGTCCCCCCCATCCTCCCGCAGATTCACATCGGAGCAGCTCAATTGCATATCAAAAGCCTCTTCTCAGTTTCATTTAGTAAATTATTAGACTTACGAACTGTTCTTGCTCCTTTAATTCTTGCTTTGCTCACACCCTCAGCAATTGAAATGAAATTTTGGGGCAAGCATCCCTGTGTGTTTGCTAAGACACAAGTAATAAAGACAGCTTAGTGACAGAAAAACCAGGAGCGTAAATAGCTGTTATTTTCTATCAAAGGTTAATTAGTTATTATCTTTATATCTGCACATTTAAGTATAAGATGGATAAAATTTTAAGGTGAAAGTGCACAGCAGTTCTGGAAGGTACTGTTACACATTGCCCCAGTTTAAGAAGAATATCTCTTTAAAATGTGTTGACATTTAATTGACCTTTGAAAGTTCATTCTGTTAATCATACTCAAAGCACTAAAGCTATGGTTGACTGATCTGGTGCTCGTACATTCAGCCGTGCTCAGCATATAAATTCTGCAGCATAATTGCTACTTATTGAGCAAGAGTTTCTTTTCTTCTCCGAAAATGAGAAAGTTTTGCTTCGCCTCCGGCTGGGTGCTACGGGTAGAGTTGTGAATCCAAATGCTTTCCTGCCATCAGTTGTTGTGGCGGGTGTGGCCTCCAGCCAGGCAAGAAATTCCTTTGCTGAAGCTGTGGGTTTTTCCTTCCTGAGGCCGCACATAGGGCAAGGTAACCTTGAAGGTTACTTCTGTATCTACTTTGAGTCAAAACACAATAGGTCACTTTGCTTTTTATGTTTTAAGCTCCTCTATATGCCAGCTGTTTGAATGGAGAAGGCTGAGTTTAAAAAGGTCGATTGCAGAAGATAACTCTCTCTCTCCTCAAAAACTTGGCATGTAAACTCAAACCTAAAATACCCATGTTAATATGCATGCTACCTTTTTATGGCATAGCTTTGTTGTAACTCAAACTCATACAGATACAGGGATTGGAAGCATTACGTATGAGCTCACTGTCAAAAGATCTGGGCAAAAATTAATTTTTACTGGATTCATTTTCTGGATAGATTTCCCGATGAGGTTAATATAGTTGGTAATAGTTTTTTGTGTGTTTAGACCTCTTGTCTCATATCATGACTTTGTAAGCATGTCTATTGCCTCATGAGAAATGAGGGAAATACTAAATGTTAGATGCAGTGTCAGTGATTCCTAATACATCATTAGCTCTTTGCTGTTACCATTGAAAACTAATTAATAGTTCTTAGTCATTAATCTACTTACAAAGTTAGAGACCTAGCATTGCTGTTGTAGTTTTCTAAGCTATTTTGTCAATGCTGCTTTTGTACTGGAGTGCCCTTGCCCTAACTGTGAAGACAAATATGATGTTCAAGGTGCATTTGCAGCCCAGTAACTGCCCTGACACTGTTGGGTTAGGAGCTGTTAAAGCCCACAGAGGCAGGGATTGTCTCTGAACAGGTATTCATCAGGGCTGTATCCACCAGCACACGAGTTCTTTGAATACTAAAAAGCGATCCTGTGGTTGAGTTCTGTTTATTTTAGTAGAATAGATACAAGTACCACACATGATTCATTTCACTGATTCTTTAGTGAAATGAATGAAGATAAATGTGCCAAGAGCATGTCTGTACTTTCTGTACAGTTGACAGAAGGAGGAGGCAAAACATCCAGGGTAGCTTAAGGGCTGGAGTGTGCAGATGCCTGACCTGCAGCTGATGCCCGTAGCCCAGAGCTGGCACCCGCTTTGTCTTTGGGACTTGCAGGAAAAGGCCATGCAAGGTGTCCTCTCTCACCTCAGAGGACAACCTCAGGAACCAGCAGGACATATAGAGAGAGATCTCTGCAGCTTAGCTTTTATAGAGGCCTAAGTCTTGGGTCTAGCTAGGTGAAGGTGTCAATCCATTTGTTTTTTGCAGTTGCAAGCGCTGCCCTGGAATGAGATGCCTGAGCAGGCAGGGTCTCCTTCCCCAAAAGGGGGTCATCTCACTGAGTTGGAGGAGTGATTTGAATGTGGTGGCTCTCCTGGGTGGCAGAAGCTCCTGGTCTGAACCTCTCCTGTTGAAAGCAGTGGTCAAAGCATGGATGGCATCACCACATAGGCACAGACATTCCGAAGGGGGAGTGAAAACCAAGTTTTGAATTGTGGCTGAGACAGGCCTAGAGGGGGATTTAAACCTAAACTTTTCTTGTCCTAGTGTTTGTATTGTACAAAAAGATTTCTGGTGTATTCCCAAATTCATTATTTTATTGTTGGGATAAAGGACATACCTGGAAGTTGCACATTCTTGCACTTCAGCAGTTGAGAAGTGAGAGGGTGAGAAGGGGATTTGAGAACCACGTGGTGGTTTGGACGTGCAGTATTGGTTCAATCAGTGTTATGAAGGCTTCAGTGTTGGTACAAGTAGCCGCTGGCAGGAAGTTGTGTGCTTGGAGGGTAGTAACAGCCAAGAATGGATGATTGAAGTTTTAATAATATCTAAAACTTTATCAGGCGCCTAAACCCTTGAGGGTTAAGAGGGAGAGTCTTATGAGGGTGATGGTTGATGTTCTTTCTATCTGCATTCCTAGATTACTATGAAGAGGATAATGTGAAGTTATTCTCGGAAGATTATGGCACTGCGAAAGGAATGTAGCACTGGGCCATAAATTAACCGGAACAGGAAAGGCTTATTCTCAACTCCAGTTTATTAACTCAGCCATATGCATATGTAACCCTTTGTACCAAAAACTTGTACTGTGTAAGTACACCTTTTACAATAGCAGCCTACCACAGTGAATAGATTTTTGTGCAGAAAAGTTTCCCCTTCTCTTTTAAGTTCAAGTATGTAGAAAATAAGTTTTATGTTATTCTGTAGGACTGCTTTTGTCTATGACATTTCATGTTGAATAAAACACATGATAATATGTTCTCGATGAGTGTTAGATCCATAGATGCTTTTTCTCTGTTACCATTTGAAATTTTAGAAGCATGTGTTAGAGTGTATACGTAGACAGGTTTAGTTGCATTTTAACATACTCGCTGGTCAAGGTGAGCCCAAGCCATCCTAATGTGACATGCCCGACATAATCCCAAGGGGATTAGTTGTTAAGACAATTGAAAAATAAAGTCAGGTCTTGCTTCAGTGGTTTTCCTTAGTGACACGTGTTCTAAATTAAAGCTTTTGCAGCAAGTTGATTATAAACTTTCTATGAGTCTAAGCAACTGAGAACTGTTCTTGGACCTGTCAAGAGATGGACTCATAGCTCTAATTTTTAGCTGACTACTAAATCTATATTTATCCACCAGGGATTTTCCTCACTATTGACCATCAGAAAAGTGTTGATTTTTTTTAATAGAAAAAGGTTTCATATATGCCCTGTTTCTTTTTCTGTTTCTTTTCCATAATCTCTGGGCAGTTATTTCTGCTATCATGAGTAAAATGCAGTTACTCGGCCTGTTTGGATGTGTGAAAAGTTGTGTATGGGCAACATTTAGAGTAACTCTTTGTGACTTATACTGAAAACTTTGGGGTGAAGGTGAGGAAGAAGAATAATTTCCCAGTGCCTGGAGTTAATCAGTAGGGGTTTCTTCTCATTTTGTGCCTTTCTCCTACCTGTCATTTCTCACATGCAGCTCCATTTTAGCTGTTCCAGAAGGGCTCACTCTGCCTTCTCTTCTTGCAGAAGTGTGTGTGTTCTTTGGCATGTCAGCATTGATTACTTTGTAGTAGTTTTTTGAGCACTTTGGAGCTTCCCCAGTGTCTTAGCTAGGGCATTTATGCTGGTAAGCCTTCTCTCCTCTTTGCTTCACTGATAAGTCTAATGCTTTCTCCTTCTTTGTAGGACTGAATTATGCCGCTCTTTCAACTTGGTGGGCGTGTTTTTGTCATGTGCTTATGAGTCTCTTGTAACTTCTGCTTCTGAAAAGTTGAGAGGAAAGACCTTTTCAGGGGGATGAGGATACAGGTTAACATTAACAAGATTCAGGTTTATGGCCCTGTCAGTATGATGTCGGCATTTTATCTGATAGGCCAGAATATTTAATTTCGAACTGTGGGATCAAGCAAGTGTTGACTGATGTTCAGCCTCATTCTGTCCCCTCATTACATAAGCCTGGTCACACCCAAGGAAAGGAGAGGCTGCTGGAAATAAATGAAGAATGGGACTTGAGTAGGTATATTGCCCCAGTGGGTATGTGTGCAAAGGTTAGTACATTTGCTGCACACGAACTCTAGTTTTGTTCTTTAAATGTCGCTGTTATATATTTCTTTCGCTATGAATAAACAAGTGTTTTCTAAAATACTTTAGAAATTGTGTTCTTAATAAGGCTGTTTTCTACACAATTCTAGTGGATGTTTTGCTTCACATAGTACCCAGTAGTTCTCTTTCATCTAGAACTAATTTCTGGTAATGTTCAAGTACCTTTGGGACAAGAATAATCAATGCATTGCACAACCTCATGGGTAAGGTGTGAGGTGAAGCCTTGCAGACTCTTCTGCAACATCTGGATGCTTGTGCAGTTCACTGTGGAGCATATGAAGTTGCAATAGTGTAGGGGTCAGAGGCTGTATTTGTTTTGATCTGCTGGAGATAAAGGATAAACATTATGATTGTGCTAATTATTTTGAGAGTCTTTATGTCCCAGTTTTGTGTTTGAGCTCTAAATGAGGAAAGGAGTGATGGGAAGTAAGAAATGGCCTTCCTTGTATTTGCAGGGAATCTGGGATGGATGCAGTGTCCTACCTATAAGCAAGCAGAAATGATTCCTGCATTAACAACCTGACCTTGAAACTGGAAATACGAGGGTAAACTTGAAACATGTGAGGTGTGAGCCACTGGGCTAGATCATAGTTAAAGTCCCTGCTTTTCTACAGCAGGGTATAAAATAGTTCCCCAGGAATGTGACTTCAGCAGAAATTGCATGTCCTGAATAAAGGAAATAAGAAATGTGTGTTAGGAGAGAGTTTGCAAAATATAGGATGAAAGTGTTCAAGAACTTGGAGGATGTTTGGGCAGAATTTTTTGTTTATACACGGTTCTGGTCAGCCCAACATATGTCTGTTCCTGCATGCAGGGATCTCAGGTGTGTGCCATAACTGTAATGTGTCCCCTGTGCCAGAGGCTTATCACTGCAGCTGTATTTTGCCTTTGAAATGGACAGTGCAGCTGAATGAGTTGTAAATGCTTCAGGTATTTTGTTCACACTTTTGAAGCTAAGTAAATGTCCTTTTCTAAGCTTGGGATCTGTTATATTAGGCTTCCTTGGACAATGCGTCTCCCATAAAACTATGAGAAGTTACTACCATTGGAGACTGTTTTCTGTTCTAATATATGCTGTTTATTCTTGTGCTGACCCAGTACGTGGTCTTAGTATTTATCTGACATAAGAATCCACAAACTTAATGGCTCTGCACTGGGAGGTGATGCAGCAGTGGGGAGTTAGGCACAGTTTCAGGTCAGACACTATACTGCTCATGGAGCAGCAGCTGGCATGGCACTTGGCTCTGCCGACAAGGAGAGAGAAATGCTTTGAACCACCTGGGTGTCACCCACTTCTGCCAGCTGATACCAAAGAACAGTCAAACCTGTTGCATATTCCTTTCTGGCCAGTGCTTAAGGTTTGCAGGCTTCACAGTAGTTCCCTCATGACACTGAAATGGAGAGGAGTAAGCAACACCATACTGTCCACTGATGCTGTAGCAGAGCATAAATAGTGCTCATACTCCTCTTTAGCTTTCACTTGTTGCTACAGCTGGTTGGTGGAGATGTGTTCATTGAAGGCATCTTTGTTTCATGTGGCACATCCAAAATGGATTCAAGTACCTTCAGAAGGAGTGCAAATTGATAAATAATATGTTTTGAGTAGATACATTTCAGTTAATAAGTGCTACATCCTGCACTTCTTTTGCTTTTGTTTTGTGCTCATAACTTAGATTTCAGAACTGTTGTGTGTGTTTTCTTCCTCTACTTTAGGTTGGTTTACTTTAGTTCTCCTTACTTTGTTTTTTCTATGCTCTTCTCAATCTCTGTTTCTTTTGGTTTTTCCTAATACTGTGGTTCTGTCTTGTGTATCGGAACATAGAGAACAGGAGTTCTCTATGTTCTTCTTCCTCTAGAATGATTGTGTGAATAAATTCTTCTCCATCTTAAAGGGTCTGGGGAGTTTGCTTTCCTGAAATGATGTTAAATCTGAGATTATGTGGGTGGTTTTGTTTGTGTAATCTCTATGTTTCTTAATATAATAAATGAGAATTCATTATGCCTACCTCTGGTGGGAAATTTAAATTCTTCAGTGTTGTTTCTGAATACTTATGCTTCCTTAGCAGTTAACCTTTATCTACATGGATTGAGAGACAGCTGCGTTCAGGAGTAATGTGTCACTTTAAACACATTCTGAGTTTTAAATGACAGTACCAGAAAAGGACACAGTTGTAATAATGGTTGTTAAAAGCTATATGACTTCTTGTGGACAGCCCTAATAATGAGAACTATGTGATATGAACTGCTGAACTTCTGGAATTACAATAACTTCTGTTCATGTATGTGATTCAGATTCCTGGAAATCTGAGGAGCAGCCTTTGGTGGATGAAGAATGTAATTCTCCCTGGAGATGTGGGTATCCCTTTTGAAGGGGACTGAAGTAGAATCAGCTGATATCCAAGGAGTAAGTTCTTGGGCTTTTTTTCACCAGATATATTGCTAGTGAGGTGCACTGTAATCCACTTGGATGGATTAGAGGCTGATTAAAGTCTTTAATGATTAGACATTGAGGAGAGAATTTTGGGAAGATGCTCAAGAAAACTAGGCAGTAAATGTTGTTCATGTTTTTACCAAGAGTTTTGACATCTCATTCCCAAATGTTTGGATGTTTTGTGTATTGTTTGGTGCATAATTTCAATTGTTTGTATGCAACTGCCTGCTTAGTGCAGGGGGAGGCCGTTGCTTCTGGCATTTTAGAGCTAAAATGCAGCTGGGAGAATTGGATTCATGTGCAACAGTTGGAGATACTCATGCTGTGTCATAACAGCTGTGAACTCAAGTTCATATAAGTAATGTGTGCTTAATCTTCCTTTGCTGTCAGTGACAGGAAGAGGAGGAATAATATTTTCCCATATTTAATGATGATCTTGAAGTTTTTGACAAGCAAATTTGAAAATGTAAACTACAAAGCAATTTAGGAAATAATTGCCATGAGTTAATTTTTTGCAAATTCTATGTAGCTTTTAATTTGCATTTTCATCTATTGCTATTCCAGTGTTAATCTGATATGATTAAAAACTAATTTACCTGTCTGACTTACCCCGTCACCTCATCTATATGGAAGGTAACAGAAGAGGTAGAGGCCCTTTTTTGAATTCTAGGAACACTTGGCAAGTTTTGGTTTAGTTGTTTGTTTGCTTTTGTAGTTCTTTCTTTGTCACCAATAATCCGTTCATCTGACTTAGAAATTTCAGGGGAATGAGAGAAAAGCATGGGAAAGCTTTTTTTATTTTTTTTTCTTTTCACAGAACAGGGCTTAAGTGCTACCAGTTTGCCCCTTTCTCTTTCTGGGACATTAACTATAAATTCATGAAGACATTGAAAAGTTTGAATTATGTTTCTTTTGTGTTATGTGTATTTTACCTGTTTAGGTGTGTTTCACCTTATTAAGATCAGCATGTATCAAGCCCTGTTGATTGCTATTTGAGTCTTGGACAATTTCTTACTAAACACCTCTGTAAGAATACTTTACAAATTAAATATCAGAGTGGTAAAGACAACTCATTGCCTTCCCCTGCATAACAGTCCATACTGAGTGACTCACACTTTTAGACTGACCTTCTTTTGACTTTCATACAGATATAATCTGTTTGTGTTTTTAAAATGGAAAGGTAGTCATATATGGAGTGGAATTGCATATGGTTGCTGATATAATGACCCTCATGTAATGAATTCCATTTTTTAGCCATCCTACATTTTCTCCCTTTAAGGTATAGATATTAGGCCAGTATATTTACAATTGAAATGATAATTTATCGTCATGAGTAAGTGTAATTAGGCTGAAATACTTCCATTCTGCAATCAGTGTTTTGCATTTGAGGTTTTTTGTTTTGTTGGTTTTTTTTTTTACTTTCTATGCATATTTTTTTACAAGGTGATTTAAGTGTATTTCTTAGCTGGTTTGTAATAAATAAGATGGAACTTGCCAAGAGAGAAACTCTTTTCCTTTTATTCTGAAGTATTGTTATAGCAAATATATTTTCTTATTTTCCTGTTCTTCAATAGATCTAACATAGGAAAGGCCATTACCTCCTCATATTGCCAACTTGGTGAAAAGTTGGGGACCTTACTGAGAGTTTCATAGCTTGTCATGATAGCTCTCCCTAGGAGAGGGTGAGTGGATTCTGTGGCTGTGGTGTGGTATATAGATGCCAAGTGCTAGGAATTCCTGGAATGTAGAGTTGTGCAGCACTGATAAAGTTTGCTTTGTTTCCTTAGTGACTTGACCCATTGAGAAAATGTGATTCCCTAGGAAGCTTTAGGAGCTCAAAGTTTATATTGAATAAAGGGACAGGCCCTAGCATAATTCTGCTTGTTTTCACCTGCTGCCTGAAAGATTAATTTTCTTAACCTTAGTATAGAAAATACAACCCTGAGTTTTGAAAGTGATTTATAGAGATCCTTCACACTTATCAGTTTGAGTAAATAAGCCACAGGCTTCTGCGTTCCAGCTAGTCTTTTCATAACCTACTCGGTTTACAGTGTGGTAATTTCATTTGGGGGTAAGAAACTTTCAAGGAAAAACACCTTCTAATTAGTGTGATATAATCACTCTGCTTGCCTGCTGCGGTTTCATATGACTTCAAAAAAATAGTTGAGTGATTAATCTTTAATTTTCCCCATCATTAACTTAATAAGGAAATGGGATATAGAACAAAAAACAAACAGCAGAACTGTACAACTGAGACGTTGTTATGCCAAATCTTTTTGGCATTTTCATTTGGTGAGAAATGCCATTCTGCCAACTCTACATGAAGAGTAGCAGCAACTGGTTAGCTCAAATAATTTGTAGAAACCTTGAACTTTATTGAAGCCTTTGCAGAGCCTGCATAAGCTAACTTCTAATATAAAATAATTTCCATGTATCCACTTTTCTGAGGGGAAGGAAGCCATCCCAGACACTTTAGTGAAATACCCTTAGGAAGGGGTTGGTTCTATTTTTGTGCCGGTTACTATCTTTAGCTGCTGTGCTGATAAGTGAACTTTGTTGTGGAGTAATGCAGTTTTTGTATGAATGTGACAGGACTGGTCAAGTCTCTTGGAGAACAAAAACAAATACAACAGTGGAAGCAAGTTGCTCTTTTTGTACGTCTTTATTTAATTCTTACTGGGTGTAAAGCAGGCAACATAATACTAGAAGTGTAATGCTTGAATAGAAAATATGCCTGGCTGTTTGCAAATGTTCCTCTGGGAGCTGTACTTTATTTCATTAATAAATACTATAAAAACAGTCCAGTGTACATCTGTGGGCAGCAAGACAGCAACAGAAGTTGTAGTGATCATAACTAACCTGCTTGGAGGCTTCTGCATGTTAATAATATAAAATAAACAGCCAAGGAATGTGTATTGCTGTTGACAGTGAGCGACTGTAAACATCCTCGACTGGAAGCTGTGAAGCAGCAGATGGGGCTTTCAGTCGGATGTTTGCAGCTGCCAACTGCCACAGACGTCAAGAAATGTTTGACACTTAAAACATAGCTGTCTGTTTAAGACTTTTATTTCATTTATCACAGGCATACGAATTAGGCCAAACTTTTCTACTGCTTAATCTTTCTTGTGATGTCTGTGTCTTAATATCTAGAAATCATCCAATCTCTGTTAGGAAGAACCAAAAATGAAATCGAGTTAAATTTTTAACTGTAAACTCAGTTCTAAGTTTTCAGAGTTGCTTGTTTGTACAGGTTGCTTGGTTTTGTTTTTAGACTCCACTAGAAAGTTTTCACAAGATTATTTCACATCTTTATCATCTCTCCAATGGTTCATTTACAATTTGAAATCCTAAGCCTTGTAGGAACTAGTTTCTTGTGGAAACTAGAAATTCACCAGTAAGCAAAACTGGGGGGAGGGGAGTGGGGGAAGTATTAGAAATTTATATTTCCTGTAAGAGATCCAACCCTTTAAAATGATGGGGAGGTCAGGGAGATTTTATGTGTCCAGGTTTACCCCTGATGTATCATAGCATCACAACTGTTTTAGGGTTCAGTGATCTTCCCCTTCACCCTCCCTTGCAAAAAAAAAAAAAGAGGAAGTGTTAAAAGTTGATTCATACTTTTCTAGAAGTCAATTGAGACAATTTCAAAATTCCAGTCCTGCCAACTAATTATGTGTGTGGGTGGACCCTGTTGCTGAAATAACCACCATAAGACACAGTGAACAATTTCTGTGATTAGGACACTACTTAAGGGTGATTGCTATCATACCAGAAAAAGAGCAATGAGGTTGTAGCACATAACTGATTTTAGCTGATATTTAAGTTGATATTGAATTCCTTCTTGAGAGAACATAGAGAACATAGGCATCTGCTTGGTACATATGTTAAATATCTATGCTTTTGGTAAACTGAGTTGTGTTGTTAATTTTTTTTTCCTTGTTCTCAGTGTCCTTTTTTCTCCAATATGTTTTTGTACATGTCTGTATAAAAGTATGAGAGGACATAATCTAAACATTAATCTGTCCCTTTACATTTCACGTAAGATGCAGATGCTCTAAGATTTTCTGGACTTTTTGACTTTTTTTGTAGTTTAATATTCTGGTCAGAGCTCTTACAAAAACATTATTGTAGGTAGGTAAAACAGTATCTACAATGTCAAAACTCCCATGTTTTGTATTTGAGAAACTTCACTAGTTTGGGTTTTGCAAATAGCATTCAGTGAAGATCAGTAAACTTGTCGGGTTCAAATTATACTGTATTTCAGTAATGCTTGAAGGTCCCATTAGGACTAGCACTGTACATCATCTGCACACTTCTTCATAACAAGGTATGAGGTCTCCCAAAAAGGATTTACAGTCAGATTCTAGACCAGTGGCATCAAAGTGGAATTTAGGTGATGTGGGTAGGTGTCACATGGGAAGACTGAGAGGAGGAGGGCAGAGGCATGGACATTGTTAGTGGCTTTGAATTGCTTGCTAATTAAAATGTAAGAAGACAAAAGACATATCTTCTTAGCCAGTTATTTATTTGGCTGTAAATATCTTGAAAGATGATGGTTTAGTCAGATGGCATATGGATTTGAAATTAGGACAGACACTGATGAAGCTGTGATTTTAAGTTGATGATTTCTTTCTTTGCAGATGGAGCAGGTGAAATGGGCAGAGGTTTCTAAAAAAGCCTTGTTTTGTAGATCTGATGACTCAGATCAAATAATTTTGAAGATCAAATGACTCGGAAAAGCTTGTAGTAAACTCAGAAAAAGAAAATTCAACAAATACAGCATTTGACTTAAAATAATTGGAAATTTAATTCAAGGCCAAGGTAGTTGGTAGTTGATAGTTGTTCAGGGTATGGCTTACATGAGCTGTAGAAATAGCTGAATTTTTTGTATTTATGGCAGAAGAAAAATGGGAATTATGGGTGACAGGTTACATTTGTGAATGATAGAGGTGGGTGTTACTGCTGACAAAGTA